TAAACATGATTAATGTCCAACTTGGTGTATTTTGATATTTACTTTCTAGCAAGACTATACATTGACTGCACACATTTGGGAAAATTACTTATGCAAGAATCTGTTTTTGCAATATGCCTAAGCTAGTATTTTGTATATTTCCATACTTGCAGGGGTTGAACACTCTTGATGGCAATCCACACAATTCCAAATATCGAATCTGGGGCGATGGAGAGGAAATAGATGTATATGTGGCAGACACAGGCATCAATCCAAATCACAAAGATTTCACAGGGAGAGTTACCATTGGTGAGTTGTGTCCGATTGTCTCCATGCAGCGTTGCAGCAAAAAGCATCACCTGGTTTGCAAAAGAGCAAAGCAAAAAAGGGAGCAGTCTTAAGTGCAACGACAGATAATGCAATCATTTAACATTACTAGGTTTGCAAAGAATTCCAAAATTGTCTTCGGATAGTGAAGTTATCTCTCCATTGTGAAGATTGGGAAATCTGGATTCTCTTAATTTTGAATGGAAATGGGGAGGTGACAGGTCATAAAATTTGCTTACAATACAACTGCCATTATGCATCTCAAATGTCTGTTTTTCATATATTTGAAGAAAATTAGAGTTCCAAGTGACAGTCGGCGTGTCAACTTCACTTGCTTCTTTGTAGTGACATTTTAGGTTCAACACATATGGATGGTTGATTACTTTTTTTTCAATTCTTTTTCCAGGATGGCCCACATCTACGAGTGTGGATGACGATGGTCATGGCACTCAAGTGGCCAGCATCATCGGGGGCATCAATTGTGGTGTGGCAAAACGTGCTAACATCATTTCCCTGAAGATTTGTTTAAATGGTCAATGCACTATTTCCTATATATTGAATGGATGTCTGTGGGTAAAGCAAACAGTACAAAGCAATGGGCGTCTTTCCGTTATTAACATCAGTCTTGGGGCGCCGTTCTCCAGTTCTCTGAACGACGCAGTCGATGATCTACTCGAAGCGGGAATCCCCGCAATTTCTTCAGCTGGTAATTCCAATAAAGACGCGTGTGCTCGTTCTCCTGCTAGCACTCCCAATGCCCTCACTGTCGGAGCCTTTAATGACGACTTTGCAAAGGCTAGCTTCAGCAACTATGGTCCTTGCGTAGACCTTTTCGCCCCGGGTAAGAGTATCAAAGTTGCTGACTTCTCTGGAAACAATAGATATACTACTAAGAGTGGCACCTCCATGGCAGCTCCGTTTGTGACCGGCGCTGTAGCTGCCTTATTGCAGGTCCTCAGAGACAACGGGACTATCAGCTCACCCTCTGCCCAGGCCGTCAACTACACAAATGAGTACATCATACAGTACGCATTGGCTGGACAACTTACGGGTGTCAATGGAACCAATTTGGCTTTGTCTACTTCATGCTTGGATAATTGAGTCCTTTCTACTTCAGTAAAAATAACGTACTAATGTACTAGATCTACTCCTATTGGCTTTTTATGTTCTCAGAGCAGATTTCTCTGAATAAATCTATCACTGCAGAGCAAATATTTCTTTCTTTTCATATTATTTTTCATAAAACCTTTTTAAAGGCTTTTAAAAATCCAAATTATTCGTTCATCGAATCCCACTAAAAAGTTTTATTTGGAGGAGGGGGAGCTGAGTACTTTGACTGCTAAGTCTACGAGAAGCCTCTTTATATCCAGTGCAAGGGCAGGATTATTGTCACCTTTATATTGCTTTCTATTGTGCTTAAGGAGTTGGGGAATCAAGCACATCTGATGCAACGTGAATTTGCATATGTGATAACTTATAGGTTTAGGGATACTCTCATTTGTTTGGACATTATATTTCATTCATCTCAGTGTCTCCTTGGTAGGGACACATATAATTTTGATAGTCAGAAAGGTTTCATTTATGCTAGATCCTGAAATTTGATTTACCTGTTGACTGTTTCGTCTGTTCACTCTGACAGACTTAGTCACAACTGAATTACTTGTTCAGGTGAAAGTGAACAGGTAATTATCTCAGTCTTGATGATGACTTGTTAGCCCCTCTCGCCCCATCCCCCAGGGTGGGTTTGAGAATGTCGTCATACACATGGGACAGTCCAGGTAAATCAAATTTCAGGATCTAGCATAAATGAAACCTTTCTGACTATCAAAACTTAGATCCAATGAAACTATTTTCACACATATAATTTTCTTTCTTTTTGATCAATTAGTTCCAGTTTTGTTTTCATAAGTCAAAGGAGTTAACACAATCACCAAACTCTGAGCCATATAAATATGTGCCACAGGCCCAGTCCTAATCTAGTCACATGCCTAAGAGGCCCAGACCCCATCCTAATACAGTGTTTTCCACGGTCACGTGACTTCCGCTAAATTTTCCGTTAAAACACGAGATTTAGCGGGATTTGAAGTTTCAAGGGGAAAGTGCGGAGTGTACACGACGGACGCCATATCGACGAGTGCTCGTTTCGATCTGAATTTTCAAGGATTTGTAACATGATAACACCTGAATTTTTTCGAAAACACATTCGTGCGAGTACTTGGAATAGAAATTTAACAGACGTACCTGATGACTTTTCAAAGAAAGAACTGAAAACGTATCTCATAGACAGCAAGGACAGAACATACGACAAGAAATTTGTGCGGGCATTCAAAAGTCTGAAAGCTTATCGGTATTTTCAAGATGGATATGTGCAGAAAATCTACAAAACAGCTTTAGTGGACCACTCTGTGTCACCAGAAAACTGTCATGTTTAAAGCTAGACGAAAACAACAGGCCATATTTGAATCAGAAACATAACTACTTCACTCAAGTCCAGGGTCAAATGGCTGTGTACAACATTCATGAGTATGATGCACAGAGTAGGATCTCTTCATTGAATCTGTTCTGTTTGATGCTGTTCATTGGGCATCTGTGGTTCCTAAACTGACCAATTTTTACAAGACATTCATTTTGACAGAGTTGGTGTACGCTACTATTAAACATTTTTCTTTTTCATTTTTTTTTTTTCATTCAAAAATTCAAGCTTTATTCTATACATGCATTTAATACCAAACTGAGAATATGTGCAATATTATTCTGCATTGTGATCTTGTATTGTGAAAATCTTTAGTGTTTTATTTTCATGCTGTTATAATAATACTTGCATGATAATAGTCCTTTTTTGAAAATATTTTTCTTTTGTGTATTTAACATGGATATAGATATTAAATAACACTGTGATAAAGAAAAGGTTTTAAAATATGGTTGTATTAGATGGTGCTATTATATAGGTTTTACCGGAATACAGTAGAATGGAAATGGTTCTCAGGAGTGAACTTTCATCTTTTTAGACTAGATTTTTATTTTATTGGTCAGTTGATGCAGGATTCCAGTGCAATTTGTATATATTTTATGTATTTAGCAGTGCAATGGATATTTAATTATATTGTGATATAGTAATGTTTTTAATTATAACTTAGTCTCAGGTGATGGTGCTTTAAATTAAAATTTGCCATGTAGGTTGGTTTTATTTTACTCGGGTGTTAATGTGCAGCTTTTTTAGATCAATTTTAATTGGAAGATGGCACGATGCTAGTGCATTTACTAGTACAGTAATTTATTTGCAAACCTGGACATGCAACAGCTCAGCAGTGAACAAATCAAATATGTCTTTGTGATAATATTTTTGTACGCAGTTTTACTTTTCTAAATAAAACGATGAAAGAAAGTAAATTTGCTGTGATTAGCTTCTTCAATATAATTTTTCTAGTCCTACTCTCCGCCGCTTCGACCCATGTCGCACTTGAAATACTGTTTAGCCGTTTTGCGTGACTTTGGTAAATCAGCTGATGGTACTGCATCAATAAACATACTATCTTTCCTGTTTGGCTTCCCGGATTGGAAGTGACAGCCACAGACTTTGAAGTTGTCAGTTATATCTTTCAATGAAATGTTCGCACGACCAGCGGCACTAATCCTTAGCAATGTCGAACGTCTGTCTTTGGAAATACAAAAAAAAAAAAAAAAAAACTACAAACATTGTCTTTTCTACCTCTCCGGTGGCTGCAGTTATACACACAGCAGTTGTCATGACCACCCATTACCGATAAATGCAAAGAGAGGGAGATCTACTTTACATCGTGACAGCCGTCCATGAAGGCCCCTTCTACTCTTGCCCCCTGAGAAACAGTCCCGCACAAAATGGCGCGAACTGCGCATGCTCACGATTTCGTGGAAAACACTCTATTAGGGCCTGGCTGTGCCCAGTCTTAATGGTGTATTTGCATTGTTAACAGCATAATCAGCAAGTTAATTGACCAAGTTAATTAGCCAAGCTGCCAATTTGTTGGTATGGCATGTGTAATTGCGCGTTACCTTCTTTATTTTTGCCCGTATCGGTATGACCCGCTTGAATACTGAAGAAGGGGAGGGGTGGTGAAAGGTAAAACCACGCCAAACCATACTATCTCCGGTAACACTTCCACCATATATATTATATGAAAGACATATCACGGCCAAAAGAGCATTTTTGGAAAAATGCGAGTATTCTCTCGGTATGTACATCAAATAATTAACTACCAGCCTCTCGCGATATAGGCCTATGCCTCGAGCACCTCGTTGTGGCATATAGCACTCGTGAACAGTAATTTATCTCACACGTGAAAGAAGTGCTAAGGTATATGTGTTTGTGATAAAAAACGAAATGAATTCATGATCCATACATTACGATTATTTATAATATTTCATACACAAGCTGTTTGTTTTGACGATCCTCAGTTCTGCCTGTACCTGAAGTTTTAGTTACATTCTGAATTAATGGCCTGCCCCAAATATGTCCCAAAATGCGGCTTAGGTACGGGTTTCATATGGGAATGAAATGTATTTCCAGGAAGTGTATTCATATTCCGTGAACACTGGCTATATGCACTGCCAATCACCATGGACTTTATAATCAATTAGATCTATTTGGAATTGATGACCTGCCCCAAATACTGTATGCTCCATAGGCTGTCAAGCTACGGGTCTGATATGGGCGACAAACGTGATGTGAACTTATATTATATTTTAACGTTAGTTGAAAATACATCAGGACGTTGTCACGGCACGACTCTGTTCAAAGGAAAAGGAGCATCATCTGGTAAGTGGCATTAGTTTTCTCAAAGGGTACTGGTGTGCCAGGAGCTATAGGCCAAGAAATAGAAATCCGTGGATCCCTTTACGATTAGTACAAGTTACGGTTTGTCGTAGTATTGGGTTTAGTATAGCGAATGAAATTCACCGGTACAAAGTAACGAAAAACAGACAACGTTTCCTAGCGGACAACCGTCAGTGTCACACGTTTATGGTAGTCTGCTAAGAAAGTTACGTACATGTTTTAATGATAAATAAATTTTGCAATATGTTGGGAGGTTTGGCACAGTATGTTATAGGCAATGCCAGACGCCTGTGCAACGTGCACATGCTTCTTATCGGCTGATTTTGGCACTTTTTCCTCCCCGAAGATGACATCCGCCACTCACGTACAGTAGATCGCGCTTCCATTTTTTCCGAGTCTTACTGATATTGATATCGAATTATCATCAGTATGCACTGCACATTAAAAAAAGAAAGAAAGAAAACAGCTTTTTTTGACCAGATTAGGCCATTACAGTCGTGGAACCGCCTTTCTGGTGCTCACTTTCCAGATATGTTCAGGTGGTCAGAAATTCTAACAAGATGAAAATGAACCCCTGTAGTAATCAACGCCAAAAGTTTGCCCGGTATACCATATGAAGCGTCCAATACTTGACCCATTTAATAAAAACAATATCAATGTGGGCACGTGTGAAAATTCATTTAGTGTTTAGAATAGATATATGTATAGATAACACGTTACATTATGGTTTTGCATCTAACCAATATTTTGCAGCTATTGACTGACCCCCCTTTACTTTGTCACAAGTTAATTCAGTATCTGTATAGTTACGCCTGCTTGAGAGCAAGAAAAATATAATTCAGGACAACACGAACTTTAAAGTGGACGGGATTCATCGTGGACTAAAATATGTTTTAAATCAATTTTGGAATGAATTTCATATAAGTGATACCAAGCCTACACGTTAGAAAGGCGGAGTTGATAAGATTTGAGTGATTAAAAAAAGATAAAAAATATAAGTGGGAACATGATCCGAAGGCTATTGGGTTTATATATCATTGTTGATCTTGGTAGATGCGTTGTCAATGTAATTTATTTATTTTTAGGTGAATATATTCTTGGTAACACCATAGGGATTAAAATGCGTTTAATGTAGGGACAGTATGCTGTATAAGTCAAAGTGCTTTTAGTAGACCTGCACTGTTTACAGTATACATACAGTATATCGTGCGACATTAAATTTAATATAGAATACAGTAATATATTCAGTGACATTAAAGATAACATAGAATGCATTTTCCTATATAATAGAATAATGTGAAACATAACAGAAAGCTACGATGGATCTGTTCAAACTGAACTCACCTTCTGTGGAGAACACAATCCAAGCAATGTATGCGTTTGCTACAATTAATTACCAGCACTACCAAGGGGGGCCCAAAATTTTTGGTATTTAAAAAGGCGAATGGTGCCATTTGGTATGGTTTAGCACTATGATTCAGCTAGTTAAATTTTTCTGTGAAAACACAACCTTGCCACTTTTTGACCGATTTGTCTGGTGGTTGGAAGAGCTTGCTCTTAGAGGCCGGTATAGTGAAAATATGCTTGACAGAGCTGAAAGTAAAAAGTTCTTTCCATTAAGTGTAATGGCACATTACCCATATTCCTACCAGTAGGTGCCTAATACCCTCATCATGCAGAAAACACAAATTGTCAAATGCATCACTGTGAGTGAGGCTTGCAGACAAACTTAACTTATAGCAGGAAAAACACTGCAAAATAGCGATCAATTATAAAAAAGATGTGTTAAAACGTTGAAATGAATAAAATCTATCGAATTTTTACAGGAATTTTACTCGTTGTTTTTTAGCTTCTGTAGAAAAATTGTCTTGCACAATAGTATGTATTTTTATATAACCCCTTTAATATTCTCTAAGACACTTTCCCAAGATTTTCACTTCTGATGTCCCCCTTCATCTTTTTGTCTCCGAAAAACAGTACAACGAGTCAAAACCAAGCAGTTTACAATCCCTGTGTAGCATATATTAACTTGTTAACTGTTTGATACCGAGCACAGAGGAGTAAAGTGTATATTCATCTACCCTGTGTCCACCACTTCCAACACTCTGGATCCGATTGTGTTTTAGTAATGTGTAAGTTCTGAGATTCAGGGGGATTTAATAATAATAATTCCATTTTACCAGTGTATAGTAATTGGATTATTATTTTAAAATTGGCAATTATTATGAAGAGCCCGCGCTTTATGAAAAACATTCTATTGTCATTCCTATTATTAGAAATAATAACAATTATTCTATTATCTGAAAGACTAAAATAAGTTTTCCATTTAGAATAATTGAAATAATTGTTTATAGAAGTATGCAGTCACTGGTGGGTATTTTGGTTTTCGGGATGTTTGCAATGACAGTTGCATATCAGAGTGGAGAGCAAGTGAACAACATGGTGCATAGAGACGCACCCGAGGCACCGCCGAGGAGAAAGGGAGATCACGAAGCCATTCGAAAAAAGTTGCAAGATGCTGGTGTATTGAGAGTGTCAGAAGAACAAAACTTAGGCAAGTAGAATGGTTGATTAACTACACAAAATGTGGAATCTTAGAGTTTGCAATGCGAGGCGTTTCCCCATGAAATAGTGGAATAAGTTTTATAATAAACATCCAACGTTGCTCATGCTCTGTTTGTTAAATTACATTGATTTTCTGTCGATGCATGAACGAAAGACAACTGATGATTGGGCAAATTTATAGATTTGATCATTTGATTGGTGACGTGTTTTTTTAAACACTTGACAATTAAAATGCTTAAGGATATAAAATACATTTTATCGAGCGTAGTGAAAATAAATTTGAATAATACCACAAGATATGGAAATCTTACATGACAAAGATTAGTTGATCAGTTAAAATGCACTTTGAATTATAGAGCATTGTAAGTGCCCAAAACGAAGACTATAATTTAACAAGATATTATATAATGTTGGTTTAAACTTACCCAAATTAAATTGCAAAGGAATATTCTAACAATGGACGATTCTTTCTTATTCATATCTCCCTCAGTGCCCCTTATTGAGTACACTGATGGTTCTGGGATATCAGGACAATACATCGCTCGACTTTTGCCTGGTGCAAAATACGGTCCAAGTAAGTAAACGTATCTATCTTCTTGTATATCCTTTGCTAATGAAATTCACTACCATTAGCTTTTCGACCTACGTGTTCCAGCCCCTATCCCAGCGGGCAATTGAAACAACGTTGAACCATAACGTTGAGAAGGCATTGGATAAACGTTGGATTTGAAAGTTGTGTCAACCTCAGATAACAACGTTGTATCAACGTCAGAAAACAATGTTATATCAAACCCACCCAGCGGGAAATTAGCCTGGATGTGTTTAGCAGTAGGACATTTTTGTATGGCCTTTAAGTTAAAATTTCCAAAGTTTAGATTAATATATATATATAACAAAGTCACAGTCTATGATAGCAGGTTAACTATCTATCTATAATAGCAGGTTTACTGTAAACTCCATCACAATTACAGCAACTTATTCATTCTAGTGTTAGCTGACCTTGCAAGGAATTCAGTTTATTGGAATGTATTTCTGAATAACAAGTTAAGAAAATTCACTAGTTAACTAAAGACACAAAACATCTGACACTTTTACTATGAAACCGTTTTGTTATTATTTTGATAAATTTAGTTACAGTATTTATAAACAAAGTATCACGTTTTCAATAATTAATATTTTAAATTACAATCCATAACTGCAAGGTTGTGTCATTGACCAAAATACAACGTTGAGTCAACGTGGCTGGATCAACTTTGATTTTACCTTGAATTTAGGTAGATCAAGGGCAATTCAACGTATCAACCTGTTTTCAACGTTGATCCAACTATGCCTGCTGGGTATGTTTCCTATGTTTATATCTGTATGTTGTTTTAACTTTACTTCATCGGATACAGAAAGGAAACGGGTGAGGACATTTAGGTCGTCTCGCATTTGTGGTTTTGATGGTCAATTCAAACCAAACGCCGCTGTGGTTGAAACGCTATAAGAAAGCACGCATGGGAAATTTTATAATAATGAAGCTGGTCCGTGTAAAACTTTTGCTTTATGCTGCGTAAACAATGTTCAGTAAAATGAAAATGCTCATTTTGCGATCCACTTTTTTTTGCCTGATGGGACGCACAGCGCTTTCACTTAGAATCTTAGCAGGGGGCATTTTTCTAGCTCACACGTTGTGCTTATGACCTCTGTCCAGGAGGTTATGTTTTTGGTTCCGTTAGTTTGTTAGCTTATTAGCAACTTAACGCTCAAATGTATGGACGGATTTCGATGAAATAATAAGGGTTGGTCAAAAATGGGCTAACTTAAAAGTGACAAGATTTTGGTCATGATTCATCCATTATTCAATGGTTGATTATTAGTTCATTATTAGTCCTGGCGAAGGTCTGTGTTCTCTGGGTGCCTTTGCTGTTTTTTCTAATGTGGGCTTGGATTCCGATACATCTCTGTTTTATTGTTGTCTTAAATGATTTGTTATGTAAACCATTTACAAGAAACATAATTTTATTTATCTAGTCCGTAGAATCATCAAAGGAGCTGGACGAAGACAACGAGTTAAGTTTAATAGAGAAAAGAATTTCGTCATTCTGCGCAACATAAGTAAAAGGTTGGACACAGCGCATTCTTAACTGTTTGTTTTTCATCCGTTCCTATACACATTTTTAAAATTTTTGTTTAATACCGATCAAATAATACTTTGGGTTAAAAAACAAAGCTCTTAAGGAAGAAATATTTAAAATACGCATTGGTCATCAGTTTATAATTCTATATTTGTTTTTACTAACAGCAAGGAAATACATATACCTTCTTGAAATTCATGACTGTTTTTATGAGTTTATTTAACCATATTTTAAGCAACCTCGAAGATTTGCTTCAACTCACCAATGTCATTGCGGAAATCGAACAGGACGTCAAGTTAGAACTAAACACTGAATACTGCAGAGAGTATACTTTACCAAATAATGCCAATAGAAGAGGTCTATGGGTATGATCGACCAAATATAATTTCATTCTAATAATTTTTTAGAATGTTGTTTATTGTGATTTCTCAAAGCATTTCACTTTCCGTTACGAAGACAACAGACTTTTCTAAATGTTTGAATCGTTTTGGCTATTGCTTACATACTTATAAAGTTAAAGTCTTATAATCATTGTCATATTTCTGGGCAATATTTGAAGTTAAGGGTGCATTTAATTTGATATTGACAAGTGCAGTTGCAAACTCAGAATTCTGTCCAGGAATTTAAGAGATCGTTAATATTATCCCGTATATCTAATGGGTGGGTTAGATGAAGCATTTTCTATGTTAAACATGATTAATGTCCAACTTGGTGTATTTTGATATTTACTTTCTAGCAAGACTANTCTACTAATAGATTGTTTTTATAAATTTTTAATGGCGGGGATCGATTAAAACATACCTCTAGTGTATAGAGTGAGTGCTGAATATTCAAAATTCGAGAAATGGATTTTTGTGGGTCTATTGTCCTTTAAAAGTGACAAGATTTTGGTCATGATTCATCCATTATTCAATGGTTGATTATTAGTTCATTATTAGTCCTGGCGGAGGTCTGTGCTCTCTGGGTGCCTTTGCCTTTGTTTTTTCTAATGTGGGCTTGGGTTCCGATCCATCTCTGCTTTATTGTTGCCTTAAATGAATTTATTATGTAAACCATTTACATAATTTTATCTATCTAGTCCGTAGAATCATCAAAGGAGCTGGACGAAGACAACAAATTAAGTTTAATAGAGACAAAGATTTCATCATTCTGCGAAACATAAGAAAAAGGTTGGACACAGCGCATTCTTAACTGTTTGTTTTTCAGCCGTTCATACACATTCGTAAAGTTTTGTTTTATAAATAAAAATATTTTACCAACGTCTTCACTATGAACTACCTGTCAAACAACACTTAGGGCTAAAAAACAAAATCCTGAAGGAGAAAATATTTAATACGCATTGGTCATCAATTGATAATTCTATATTTGTTTTCCCTAACACCAAGGAAGTACATATACCTTCTTGAAATTCACGACTGTATTTATGAGTTTATTTAACAATGTTTCAAGCAACCTCGACGATTTGCGTCAACTCACCGATGTCATTGATGAAATTGAACAGGACATCAAGTTAACACTAAACACGGAATACTGCAAATCCTACAATTTACCAGAAGGAAGTTATTATTGGGTATGCAAATGCTGATTTCCGGTCACAATGATCGACTTTATAACTTAAAGGTTTCATATGATTTAATTCCAATGCCTTTGTTGAATGTTGATTATTCTGATTTCTAAAAGCAGTTCACTTTCGGTCACGAAGTCAACAAGCTTTTCTAAATGTTTGAATCGTTTTGACTATTGGTAACATACTTATAAGGTTAATATCCAATACTCGTTGTCATGCATCTGAGCAATATATAAAGTTAAGGGTGCATTTTATTTGATTTTGATGAGTGTAGTTGCAAATGTCTATCTCAATACTGTCCAGCAAACAAAAAGATTAATAATGTCCTCTCAAAAATCTAAAGGGTGGTTTGATTGGTTTGGTTTTCTATGATAAACCTTTTTAATTTTCAACATGGTGTTCTTTTGGCATTTTCCATATACTTTCTGGCAAGACTGTGCAACAACTATACATATCTGGAAAATCCCCTATGTAAGAATTCGTTGATTGCAGCCATGGCAATATGTCAAAGCTAGTTTCATATTTTGTATAACCTTTACTTGCAGGGGTTGGATGCTCTTGATGGTGATGCATACAATTACAAGTATAACATCTGGGGCGATGGAAAGGGAATAGATGTATATGTGGCAGACACAGGTATCAATCCAAACCACGAAGATTTCACAGGGCGAGTTACTATTGGTGAGATGCCTTCTGATTGTCTTCATGCAGCGTTGCAGCGAAAACAACACCTGATTTGCAAAAGGGGTCCAAAAAGGAAGCACGTCGGTCTTACTTAAGTGCAACGACAGCTAATGCAAGCTTTTTTCATTACTAGGTTTAAAAAGAAAACAGTATTCCCGCGTTGTCCTCAGAGAGTGAATTTATCTTCCCATTGTGAAAATTTAGAAATCTGGATTTTCTTTATGTTGCATGGGAATGGGGATGTTGTCTCTTCTGTAATACGATAGCTGCTCATAAAATATAGTTACAATACAACTGCCATTATGCATCTCAAATGTCTGTTTTCTTTACAGTACAGGATAGTTATATTTGGGCCAATTTTGTACCATTGTTCAGTTTACGGAATATTCACTTCATCCGAAATGAGGCGCCTCCATGCTTCTTGGTAGTAAATCAAATCAAAGAAGTTCAACATTGATCAGTTTTAGGTTAAACACATGAAAATGGTTAATTTATTTTATCAATTCTTATTTTTTCCAGGCTGGCCGACATCTACAAGTGTTGACAACGATGGTCATGGTACCCACGTGGCCAGTATCATTGGAGGAACCAATTCTGGCGTGGCAAAGAGTGCTAACATAATTTCCTTGAAGATTTGTTCATGTCGGGGATTTTGTCCTGTGTCAGATATATTGAAGGGGTCCTTGTGGGTAAAGGAAAGGGTGCAAAGCAATAGGCGACTCTCCGTTATTAACTTCAGTGTTGGTGCGTGGTTCTCCAGTTCTCTGAACGACGCAGTCGATGATGTACTCGCAGCTGGAATCCCCGCAATTGTTGGAGCGGGTAATGCCAATGCAGACGCTTGCAATTATTCTCCAGGTAGCACGCCCAATGCCCTTACTGTCGGAGCGTTTAGTGAGGACTTTGAAGAGCCTAGTTTCAGCAACTATGGTTCTTGCTTAGATCTTTACGCCCCGGGTGAAGATATCAAAGGTGCTGATTTCTCTGGAAACAATACATATACTTTGCACGGTGGCACCTCTACGGCAGCTGCGTTTGTGACCGGCGCTGTGGCTGCCTTGTTGCAGGTCCTCAGAGATAACGGGACTATCAGCTCACCCTCTGCCCAGGTCGTCAACTACACCAATGAGTACATCATAAAGTACGCATTGCCTGGAAAACTTACGGATGTCAGTGAAGCCAATTTGGCTTTGTCTACTCCATGCTTGGTTATTTGAGTCCTTTCCACCTCAGTTGATTAAAACGTACTAATGTACTGATCTACTCCTATTGACTTTTTATGTTTTCAGACCAGATTTCTCTGAAAAAATTATCACTGCAGAATAGGGTTTCTTCTCTCGTTCTTTTATTATTATTTATAATCATACTTGTTTTAAGTTTTTTTTTTAATCCAAATCATCTGTTCATCGAATCCCGCTTTAAAGTTTTATTTAAGGGAGGTTGCGCGGGGCGCTGTGTAATTCGACTGCCATATTAAGCACCTACTCATAGTGAAAGTGAAACCCATTATGGAATAAATCGAAAACGTTTTTAGAAACACATTTTTTTCATAAATAAACCATATTGTACAGTCATGAAGAGTCACTAAGGTTGTCACTGAACAGTTTTGAGCAAAATACCAATATCTACTTATACGTATCATCTTGAAAAGACTTGGAACGATCATTACGTATTATCTCCTAAGGAAAGCGCTTTTATGCTCGTTTTGAATAAAATACAGTTAAACACCTCTTATTGTAACTCTTTTTTCCAATCAATGAGGCCCATTCTTTACAAATTTGTTCAATGAATGTGGCGTTTCTTTTGCCACTGTGACTGAGGTGTGAAGATTTATGACAGACAAATTAATAAACTGTTGGCCACATTTATTTTCTAACAAGACTGGCTTATTCGGTAACAGTCACCTGATATTGCTAAGCAGTGGGAACTGGGAATGGCAGTAAGGTTCAGATTAAACAAAACAAAACCCATTTAACTTTTCAACCACTTTGATAATTGAGCAGGAAGACACTGACATTTTACCCAGGACGTAATACATGGTGTATAACCACACCAAGTTGTAACTGGTGTCTTTTATAAAAAACAAAGATCTCGCACAATATGAATTCTCCAAAGGTGAACATTATAACAATAACCAGCAATTCGTAAATTGAAATAGATTACAGTTTTCAGAAATGTTTTTACAGAAATCAACAGGGGTCTGACATTGGGGTTGAGCAACGTGCCATGTTAACAAAGACCTAAAGTGACAGGAAAAAAGATATTGGACATAATATCTGTTGTGAATTGCATTTTCACTGCCATCCATTCGTCATTGGCTTGAAGAGTTTGTGAATACCTTCAAATGTGAAGAGTTCATCACTACATGATTATCACTTGTTTCTAATTAGCAAAGTCCAGGATACATATACTGACCTGCCTGAGTGACCTGGTGAAACCCTTATCCAGTCTTACTTATCCTGGTGTAAGACATTAAGTCCCATAGTAAAATACAATGATTACATTTCAATCCTCATCTACATGTACATAACATAAAAGAAAAAAAACTCTATAGATATATTAAACCACAAGCTATATAATTACATAAGAATATTTTACATATATGCAAGTATGAAATGTACAATGATCATCAAACATTTTGGCAAAAAGATCTTTTCTTTGCTCCAGTGCTTTTTAAAATAAATCTTCCAGGAAATTTATTTCATTTGCATATTCACCATTGGGCCCCACATCTCCAGGCTGCCCCTTGAGTCCCGGGAATCCATTTGGTCCGGGGTCTCCAGGGAAACCCTTGGGTCCAACCCTGCTAAACTGAGGCGCAGGCTCTCCCACTTCTCCCTTTGGACCTGAAGTACAGACAAAAAGCAGAATATAATGATGCATAAAATAGGTTACTGTCAATTTTGTGTCTGTACATACAAAGGTTTGCGTTTATTAGACAGAAAAGGTTCTAAGACTTTTAATTTGTTACCTAGCCACGTTATAAACCTTAAACTTATGAGTAACATAAAAGACAAACCCCAGTTGGTTACAATGGCAAAATTGCTGAAAAACACGGCATGAATAAACCTATTTCATTTTTTTCACGCCATATGAAGTTTAAACCTGTATTGTATACCTTAGAACTGTTGAAATCGTAAAAGAAAAAGTACTCTTCACCTCTAACACCATCAATTCCTGGCTGTCCGTCAAACCCTGGAGTTCCAGGGTCTCCACGGCGACCTGGATCACCATCCAGGCCAGGCAGACCAGGGTTGCCACGGAAACCTTTGCAACCTGGAGCACCTTGAAAACCAGGTAAGCCCTGCCAAAAGTAATAAATGACTTCTTTATTTAAAAGATGGGGATATTTAAAATCAGTTCATCTTGAACTTTTCTGCCGTAACTTTACGTAACTTTGAAACAAATACTCATTATTTAACAAGTCTTACCTAAAAAGATAAACTTTGTGTTTTAGCATGGCTATGTTATAAATTTACATATAAACAGCCCAAACATATCCACCCAAATGTTTAAAGGCAAGAACCAACAAAACACATGCATGACCAATTTGTGTCCTATTACGCCAACTGTTACTTACATCTCTCCCCTGTTCCCCTGGGTTCCCTCTAAGTCCATCGTTTCCCTGGGGTCCCCTGAGTCCCTCCTCTCCCTTCATCCCTGGAAGACCCCGATTACCATCTCTCCCTCGGTCCCCCTTCCTGCCAAGCAATCCTTAACCAAGTAAGCATATAACATAGTCAGTGACAACATTACAGGTTCCATGCTCTTAATATTATAACATTTTTGACCAAGTAGCAGGTATAAAATAAGTAAAAGGGAAAAATACAAGAAATTAAAATAAAACAAAATAAATAAACACTGTTAACAATTACAATAATAATTATAGAAATCAGATGGAAAGAGAGAAAGAAAGAAAGAATTGTAACAAAAATAAGATTATTTAAACACATGAACTCCAAACCACTCATGATATACATAAATGTCACCCACATTTGCCAAGTGAGAAAATCTCCAAGTTTTATTTCAACCACATGTTATATACATACCACATATTAGCACCAGCCAAGCCGCCCTTACCATTGAATCCATCAGGACCTGGATTTCCTGGAAATCCTTTGCTTCCTGGAAAGCTTCTTCCTGGCTCTCCATCAAACCCTTTCAGCCCTGGGGCTCCATTAAATCCAGGCAGCCCCTGGGGTCCCTGGGAGCCTGGCAAACCTGGGGCTCCGGGGATTCCTGGCTCTCCTGATGCACCGCGCTGGCCTGACATGTTGAACATTTTCATATATTTTATGTTATATCAAACAATTATATTATAATTTTACACTATGTATCTTTTTAATGTTCTGTTTTCTCACTGAACATATCCATTTCTATTCCACGTGTGTAAAATTAACTCACAATATATCATATTCTTTGAAATTGTAATCTATCATGTTGCAGAAACTTTTATTTTAACTCAATTACCTGGAGGGGCATCTAATCCTGGAAAACCTTTGCTTCCTGGGAAACCTCTTGAGCCTGCAAAGATCACAAATCTGTACATTGAATATCCATTGCATGAACTTCTCAACATAAGCATGGACTCTCTACCCCTTAATCCTAATAATCATGGGTACTCTTAAATACCTTTATCTCTGCTGTGGCATTTAATCCTAACATTCAGGCACACTTACATACCCTTTTCTCCACTCTGGCCCTTTGCTCCAGGAGATCCTGGTCTTCCATCCTCCCCACGGTCACCCTTCTGTCCACTCCCTCCAGGGAATCCATCTTCTCCTCTTAATCCAGGTTGCCCTGGCAACCCCTCCCTGCCTGCAAATCCTGTATCTCCCTTGGGCCCTACGTTACCTGGGAATCCATCGAACCCTCTGTCCCCATCCTTGCCTCTAGCCCCCTTCCTGCCTCTGGCCCCTGGGAGTCCATCCAGCCCCCTGTCCCCACCAGATCCTGGAAGACCATCCAGACCTGCAGGTCCTGGGTTACCCTGCAGAAAGAGAACTTCTGCAAGTTAGTTACTTGAGTGAATTACTATTTAGGAAAACTGTTTCTCTGGCTCCCTTTTCACATTGTGCTGTATTCAGATGCTAATTGATTTGACGGGGCATAAGAAGTCATTACACTATGTGGATTTTATTCGATTTCAAAACAGCACTTCCAAATGTCTTTACAGATATAAAAACATCTATCGACCAAACAATTAATAAGGACAACATTTAACAACAATTATTCCCAACACTCTCACCCGCTCCCCAACCTCCTCCCCTCTCCCACTCCCAGTATGAACCAGCTCTATTTGTGAACACCCCCCCTCCAACCTGTACCCCAACCCCCTGGGCACCATCTTGGCACCCCCACCTACATGTACCCTGTCCCCAGGGAATCCTATCAGGCCTTGACTTCCATCTTCTCCTGCCTCCCCCTTAGCACCAGGCCTGCCATCTAACCCAGGGAAACCTCTCTCACCCTGGATACCATTCTCACCCCGGAGACCATCAGGACCTGGCAATTAATCAATCATATTTCTAGTTCAGCCATGCTTGCTTATGTAAAACAGATTAATATTGACCTTCATTGTGGTTTACTGTATAAGATAACAAAAGGGGTAACATTACGTAAGATATGTTACATTGTTGTAGATGTGAATGATATTGTGTTGGATTTGAAAGACACATTTTGAGATGTGAAAGAAATGTTTAAAAATTATGTCAGATGTAGAAGGCACTGAGCAAAATTTAAAAGACAAACTCACAAAGTGTTAGATGTAACAGACATGACCTCAAAGCTTTATGTACTCTATATGTCTATGACACATACCTGGTAAACCCATCTGCCCCATCTCTCCCTTTCTGCCAGGGAAACCCTGACGACCTGGTTTTCCACTTCGCCCAATGAAGCCCTTAGGTCCTGTATAGGTTTTGTTAAGAAATAATAAAATAATGCTCCCGTAAGATACATGCATTTTCAATAACTGTCAAGTTTAAAAGTACATGTATCTACCCTACGGAAGGAATTATGGGAAAATTTTCTACAGACGGCTTTCCAAAAGTCATATGTGTAGATTTCAAATATGCCCTTGGATTTGACCTCTGACCTTTATTTCAAGGTCAAACGGGCCAGAATTTTCAAAAAAATGAATTTTTTTACGAAAAAAAATTATTTGCGCTGTTATTCAGACACCACACAGACTTAACCAATAATATTTTGGAAAGTGTTACCTTTTGTGTCATCTTTCATCTCCGTGAATTTGGGGTCAATCAGTGCATTTTCACGGGAGAAGCGGCCATAAGATACGGAAACTGAAAACTGTCTCTAATTCGGGAACCGTAAATGCTAGAGACCCATTCTTTTTTGCATTTTGTAGAGCATGTAAAGCCCAACACAGAAAATGGTCTCCGTTTTTTGTATTCCATACGGTTTTCGAGTTACGCTGTATCAAAAAGTACATATTGGTGGTGAAAGCAAAATGTGCAGTACGGTAATGGATAATAAATTTTGAACCCCGGAAAAATAAAACATAAGGCTTGGCAAGGCAGAAAACTTGTGGTCATAAATTACATTATTTCATCAAATTTGAACATCTGGAACTTCAGAGCACCTCCCATTTCAAGAATTTTGACCAAAATGACCTTTTCTTTATTTTAATTAATTTTTTCTGTAGGATATTTATGGCACATTATTGTAACTCCAAAATTATAACATTTAGTCCCTTATATCTCCAAAACTGTCAGAGATAGGTCCATAGTTACTATTTAACTTGAATAGGAACTCATTTACTGGCAATCTAAATGTGACCTTGAAATTGACCTTTGACCTACTTTTCATCATGAATTGAACTTTGCAAATTTTCGTTCCCTTTTATCTCCAAAACTGGCAGAGATAGGTCCATAGTTACTATTGAACTTGAATAGGAAGTCATATACTGGCAATCTA